CAGAATGTCGAAAAAATAATGCAAAAGGGAGACGGGGTTGTGCTGTTTTCTTTCGGCTCGGTCGCTGCTGCACATAAAATGCCTGAAGAATGGAAAACGATCTTCCTGGAAACGTTCAAGGAACTTTCCAACTACCAGTTTCTGGTGCGATATGATAGTGACGATCTGAAAGGTGACCAAAAGTTCCACACTCCTTCGTTTGATGTACACTACCTGTTCTATGATAGCGATCCTACTCACTCAAACTTCCACTTTAGGTAATATCTCAGAGAATGTACATCTGTTTCAATGGCTTCCACAGTCTGACATTCTTCAACATCCTAACACTAAGGCATTCATCACTCATGGTGGATACAATAGTGTACAAGTAGGCAGAATCTCATTCACATTTTGGTCTGAGCCGTAACTATGTTTGGAGAGATATGTAGTGCAACTTTTACACAGTCTAATCGCGAGGGCTGTATCTCACACTGAACCAACCCTTCCTTTTGATTCTGCTAGGCTGCTCCCGCCGTAGTGGCTTGTTTTAGTAGGAAACTTGGACATCTACACGGTACCGCATAATACTAAATATTACTAGTTGCAGGCACGGCGCATTCAGGAAAAAATGACATAGTGAACTATTAAACTTCATTCTTAACACTTATTTCGATTATCCTGAATTCTGCGTTCTCAGGAAATCCTTTTCTCTGGATGGAGGACTTTTTCGGCTTACTCAAAAAAGGAGCCTGAATCTATCACTGTGTGGTAACCATAATTGCATTTAAAGGCAGTGAAGACGACAAAATGGGAGCGGAGCGATTCCAATGGCATCGCTGATCGTGAATGATGGACGAGCATTAGGAGGTGGGCCCAACCGCGTTCCCAACAGTGGGGGCTGAATAAGCAGTATTTAATGGTTTCATCAATACCACACCATCCTCCTGTCATCGTGTTTACGGCCATTAAAGTCTTCTGATACGTGCAGATCTTCACTCTTGCTCTTTATGAGTGACCACCTCGTATCAGGTTAAGGTTCATTCATCAAATGATTCTGTGCTTGGTTGACTATTTCGTGTTTTGTGGAAGGTATCCACATGATTTGATGGCACTATTTACCCTTTACTGCCCCACTCCTCAAAAACTGAGCAGCACTTTGATCGAAATTTTTCCAGACTGAGGATTAGAGGCTGGAAAGTCGTGTTTAGGGGTATTTCAACCCGAAGTAACCCTGAGGACAACTTTCCAGCGAATTTGGGTGATCCAAGATGTTCTGGCGCCTTTTGGCGCCGGCGCTTCTGACGCGAGCGCCAGGCGTTCTAGCGGTAAACAAATGTGATATTCGTGTTCTACGGGTCGAATTACCCCCGAAGACAAGTTTCTGGCCAAATTCACAGTCAATGACCAATTTCGATAAAAATCCGGCTCAGTTCTGGAGTGGGGCAGTAAAGGGTAAATAGCGCCAATTTGATAAATATAGTTCATTTAATACCGCTTATAATACCCGAAGCATATGG